CTACTATGCATATGTAGCTAGAACTATTTCTAAGATTATTAGCACAAAACCTTTCTCACTAATTTCTAGCCTTATTAACAAGAGTACAAACGTTTTCGGCCTTCTTAATAGGCCTTCCTCGGGTACACTGTGGAGCGTCGGTTAGAAGAAGTTTAAATGCTGCCAATGTTTACCCATGTATCGTCTTAGTAGTGACGTCATCATCGATGATAGGTATACGATACCGAGGGCGAAAAATACATACTTTTGGTAAAGAAGGGAGGTGTGCAGATAGGATACTTGCTAAAGTTGGGGAAAAAAGGTTTTAGAGTAAGCGCACTATGTACAGGAGATGCACAACCACAACAGGTACTCTTGTTAATAAGGCTAGAAATTAGTGAGAAAGGTTTTGTGCTGATAAGTTCAGCTTTAACATTCTCCGATGTTAATCTGTTTCATTTATCCCACCATAAGTTATTCATTGAAGAGAAACATCTTTCAACATATTCATTAGAAATTGGAATGCTAAATATAAATCTGATTATCCTCTGAACATTTTGAAAATTTCCTTTTTTTAATGTAAATGCCCATAACTGTGAATTATTTTTTTCTGCTTTTAACTTTTTCTTCAAATTCCTACTCTTTCCTTTATTGTGCTAAGTTCATTAAAAACATCATCACCTTTTACTTTGAAGTCAATTTTGTTTATATATTTATCAAGTTCACAGCAGTCTTGTATAGTTGGAACATTATTTTTTAAATTAAATTTTTGAACTAAAAAAAATGCATTTTCGAAATAATAGTAGTCATTTAAATATTTCAATGCTTGTGAATACACCTTATCGGCTTCTTGTTTGAATATTTTTTTCTTATTCTCAGGAAAATCCAGAAGAGCCTGATTAACTATAAAACTGTAAAAACACTGTTCTTTTCTCTGCACTATATAATTTCTAATATCTGTAAAAACATTATGTAATTCAGTGACGTCAATGTTTTCTCCTTCAAAAATTAATATATATTTTTGGAAAATATGTAAAAAGGAATGTACGAAATATAACATCAGTTCTGGTAAGAATTATTCATTGTTAATACTATTTTCATGATCTTGCACAAATTTCCAGGTTGTAGGATTACATTCTTCTTCTCCCTGATTTAGAAAATAAAGGGTAATATCGGACTAATTTTTCAGTAACCTATCAATAGCTTTATATAAGCTTACCCATCTAGTAG